TAAGATTGAAATATAAAAAATTATAGTTTTACGTAATCGTAAATTATACATATCGATTTACTGTACAAATTCTATTTGTATTTCACAGCATATATATGTTTATTTTAGCAAAATTTTTCCTAGTTTGAATTTGTTAACATGGGAAATGATAACACACATACAGTGGCAAAATGTACATTAGTTATTTATGTTGATTATTTGGCGCAAATAAACATTTCAGGAATAAGTTGAATATTGAACAAATAATCCATAGTTTATACATATAATGGCCTCATATTTTTCTTGTTTTTTTTATTCATGTTAAAAAATTCAATTATATTCAACGTTGGCGGATATGGATGTTCTCTTCTTCTTCACTTTAAATAATTAACCCTCTCGACTCGGATGCGGTCGCTCCGGTGGCAAAATTCATATAAATCTCGTAATTGGCGAGTGGATAGTGTTATCATATTGATTGTAACTATCATGAAAAAAGCAAAAATAATTTATCACATGTAATTTGAAAATTATGAGTTTTTAAGTACAACGTACAGCTTCTTTGCACTGTGACCATTTTTCGGTTATTGTATACAATACAATACAATGCAATTTTTTACATATTACAAAACAAGGGGCCAATTTTCCGATATAATAGACTGTAACATAGACGGTAAAACCATGTTACGTTAATATTTATACTAATTTGCACTTAAAAGCTCGTCATTACCAAACTACATGGGATAAGTTATTTTTCTGTTCTTTTAGAAAATAGTTGCAATTAATACTTTTAATTTTGGGTAAAATATTTTAATCATGTCCCGTGATTGAATTTATTATATCAATTGAAATAAAATACTATCTACATTCGACATAGAATGAATTGAGCATTTCATGTGAGTTAACCAAATTTAACTAATAACACTATTCTACACATTTACAAGAGTTAATAACATCGAATAATAAAGTATTTTATGCTAATGATTTTGAATAAAGATTAAAATAGAAATATGTATATAGCGAAATACAATATCAACTAAATTGTATACTTAACACAGGAAGACTTTTTGCACCAAAAATATTAAATGATGAATCAAGTATCTAGAGTAACAAAATTTATGTTAAGTTATATATATAAAAATTTGTTGTAACACTTTTATCATATAAAGCAATATAAAAAGCATTTAAACATTTTACCACATATATAGCATTCTTACTATAATTTTAAGCTTAACTAATACTACAAATTCAATATTTTTAAATCTTCATACAAATACATTTCTTTTAACATTATAAACTATGTTTTATGTGTTTATAAATATACATATAAATATTATAAATAATACATTTTATTTGTATGTATTTAATCGTTTATTTGTCGTTATTATTAGAAAGAAAGATGAAAAAAATAGATTTATTTCTAATCCAATATATAAATATATTGGTATATTTAGAATTCCATATCGACACAAAGCAAAGCGACAAATTAATAACAAGTATGAATTCGTTACTACTAATATATATATATATATATATATATATATATATATATATATATATATATGAAATTCTAGAACGAACTATCCAACAGTATGGTCGATTAATAAAAAAAAATTCCTTGATTCATACTGGTATACTGTAAAATTTGGGTTCAATATTTTAAAATTAAAAGCAGTATCCTTTACCGATGAAAAATAAAAATAAAATCTATAACGAAAATATTATTTGAAATCTTAAAATTATTTTATATCTATAGAGTAACCACAGATAACTAATACAAACACTCTTAATTGAAATTTCAAATCAATATTTCTAAACAATCAACTAGTAAGCCCATAAGCCTATCGATCTTGCTGAACTAACTTCTGAACGCGTTTTATATAATATTGGTTAGTTTGACCGATATATATCATATCACAATCAGCGCAATTCATTTCTTAAACCAGATTCCTAAGGGGGCGTCCATTAATCACGTGATTGATTCTTTATGAACATTTGAACTCTCGAAAAAAAATTCACACTATATAAATACGTGTGATACCCTAATACACCCCTCCCTCTCCGACGTGATTTTTCGTGATTTTTTGTCAAACCTCCCTTTCCCTAAAAGCCTCACGATATTGATGGACGCCCCTTAGTACGTGTGATATTAAAATACGTTTCTGTTCAGGTAAAAGTAGCACTAGTGGTTGTGTTAAAATTGTTGACTAGCCAGAGCCATGGGTTATGCAAGTTTTTTTTTCAGATAAAATAAAGTAAAAAAAACTAAAACGTACGCCATAACCGAAAGAATTGGCATATATTAAATTTCTCTATACATATATTAATTTTCTCTAAAATCACACTGTCAATCACACTTCACAATATTTTCTGATATACAATATAAAACGATAACAATATTACACCGGTACAAACATTTATGTTCATTATTAATATTATATTTTTAGTTTTTAATGCGTTTTGGATTTTTTCTAACGATAAATGTGTACATAAAGTACACCACAACGCTCATGATATATTATTTTGAGTTTGGTCGACAGCATACTAATTTTGTTAAAATTATACAATTTATTTCATCTAGTAAGTACTTTTGTTGAGGAGATATGTAACAACAAGCAATTGATAATATTTTATAAGTTAATTAATATCAAGGCTCATAGAAATAAAGTTAAAATAGTTGATGACTCAATCAGTGGATTAAACTTTATTGAGACTAAATAAATGTTCAAATAAAGGTGATAAATAAAATTTGCTTCGTACTAAGTATCAAATCAAATAGATGAAAAATACTAATTGGCATACTTAAATAAAAATTATATTGGAGAAGATATTCTGAAATATAACAAATGCACGAACACAGATGAAAATTTAAGTGATAAATAAAATTTGTAGTAAGACAAAAAATTATTATTTTTTCATTTTAACTGTGAAATTATATTGCCCTGGATACCAATTATCCCAACTACACTATAACGCACATTTATCAAAGGATAATTTATGATCACACATGATAGATAATCTAAAACAAATAATAATCTAGACTACAGAATTGATTATACTTTCATTAGCTACATAGAATTACAAATAAACTATTAACTTTGATATTTTATTGTATAATATTGATTGGTGTTCGATATTATTCATGAATTTAACGTACTATAAAGTAAATAGTTCTGATAATTACATCGACAGCGGCGCATTTTAATAGATTCTATTTACAATCAATTACAAAACATTTGAATACGTTAAATATTATATCCATGGTAGTAGATATTTCGATTTGATCTGATTTGTAATACTATATATTCATATATATTTTTATATTAAAGTTCATGTCCTAATTTGGATCAGGGTATGTTTAATATTTATCACAAAGCTAATAAGTTGGTAATATTTATAGATCGTTAATATAGCACAGACGTCTTCTGTGCCAAATTTTCGTAATAAATTTTCTAAAATTTATGTAGATATTCAACATTAAGGAACCAATTTCCGATAAAATATAAATGTAACTTAACGTTGTTATGGCAAACCAGTATTCATATGAATTGGTAGTAAAAATAGTCAAAAAGCTATGCATTTGCTGAGTCAGGTGCTTAACATATAAAACCTAACTTGAAAAACGCATAAAAGTGAAACATAAAATGTTGTTCGTTTCTTATCACTCGTTTATTGTCTCTAATTACACTCTCTACAATATTCATCTCTATATGTCACTATTTGTCTGTCACAAAATATAGAGATAAATATTGTAAAGAGTGTAATTAGAAACAATGTGCCTTTGATAACACATACGTGAAGTTATAGTAATATACGTGAAAGTTGTTAATACGAATTTATGTGAAGATATGACCCTAACATAAGGTTGCTGTAACATTTCTATTTTATCAGAGAATTAGTCCATAAATCTATTTATCATTAAAATCAGGAAAAGCACTCAAATTAAAATATTCTAGAAAATTTATAAATAATAATATATAGGTATTATTGAAACCTCGAACAATGTTTAAGATGTAAACGGACCGCAATTTTTGTATGAAAATTTTAAATTTTTGTAGTTATTGTGAAAACTATTTTTATTGACCATTTCTGATAGTAGTTGAATTCACTGAAAAATTAACATATTACACAGGCCGAATGTTAAATTTTGTTTTATCAAACGTATGTCTAAGACTTTTCAACTTTCAATTAAAAATAAAAAATAACCTCAAGGACAAATGAGATTTATAAGTTAAAAATTTAATTACACAGGATAAATACAAATTTTAAAATAGACTCAACACTACTAATATTTTTACTTTATATTATTTATAAACACTAAATATCGGCGAAAAATTCAACAAAAAAAATAAGTTCTTGAAAACACACTGAATGTCGACTATAGGCGACAATCGTACACACAGGTATGTCGCATGACGGCGTTTGTCTCAAAAGGTTTTTTTCGAAAGAGCCGGTCTACAAACAATGTACGAGTATTTAACCAGTTAACTGTGATTGACGAATATAATCGTCATGCAACGGTGGCATAATTTTGTATATTGACAAGTATAATCGTCAGGCGTATAAATCAGTAACCATTGCTATTTTATTGGAATTTTTAAAATAACAAAATATATTTTGAAAGGTGGTGTTGCTTAGGATATTTTGAGGCTATAGCAATATAAAATAAAAAGCATTTCACGAAAGTAAAATGCATAAACTTCCCCAAAAGTGGACTGTTTAAATAACAATTTCTTCTGTTTATTTTAAAAATATATTTTGCTTCTTATCAAAAACTATTTTTACTGTCTTACGACACAAAATTGTGTGCAATGTTCGATCGAAGCGACACAGTTAACTGGTTAAGGCTATTATTTTAAGTTCAGTTTCATAGGTCCACTGTTTAACAGAATAAGATTATCTTTAACTATAAGAAATTTACCTAATCATTCGTTAACAATGTGTATTCCAATCGCATTTTCAACGCAAATGTATGTTTTTGTTAGCGATTAGTTGATTCCCATTTGCGTTTTGGTGTTGCGTCGCTAGGCATCCACTTCGTGGCAAACTTCCATGTAATCTGGGTGGTGCATTATGTCCTTAATCATGTCCTTCAGCATCGTATATCGAGGAAACATCGGATAGACTTTTGAATTCATGTATTCACTCTAAAAAAAAAAAATTATTGCCCAACGAACCAACCCAACCACTTGTACCCCATGCAGATTTCGTGAAATGACCAAAAAGTTGGTATATAGAGCATTAAGATTGTTTGATGATTCTGTAAAAAGGTTGGTTTTTTGAGGTCACGCGATTCTAACGAGAATATTGTTTTAAATTCTTAAAGGGGTATTCTGGCATGAAACTAAAAAAAAATCGATATTTCGGATATTTGCAAAGTATAACTATTAAGGAACTTATATAAAAGATGATTTCTCAACATTTGAAATATTTTTGGCGATATAGGTCCTCCCATTTTTCTTTCCTCCGCATAACTCTATATATATATATATATATATATATATATATATATACCTTTGAAAAATTAAAATTAAATATAAACAAACACTTACCGAAATCTAATGTATTATTACAATATTGATTGATAATGCTTCGAGGTATATGTGTGTATGATGACATATATATTAAAATATTAAAAGAACTCTTTAATAAATTTAAATTCAATCACTTACCTTCAATTCTCTTATTAAATTCCTCAAACCAGAATATTTTTTGAGAAGACGATACATATCATTTGTCATTTGTGTGTTTTCGGCTTCTATCTGGGCAGTGGTCATATCTAGATATAATAAAATAATTTAATTACATGTAAAATGACTATCAAAAATTATTTTTTGTGTTTTACTTAAAATGGAAAAGAAAAGATAATATGAACTTTACATAAAATATTACAGAATTTATTTTAAAAATAATTTACCTCCTAATCTTTCTATTCGTTCACGTCGATCAGCAGCCTCCTCTGCCAGTTTTGTTGAAGTTTTGACGCCTTCACCACTTTTTTGTGTTTTTTCCATAATAGAACATGCTCTCAGAACAAATGAAGGAACCGTTTCTTGTTTTTCTTGCTTAGGAATGTCCACAAGAGTCCAGTAGTTTGTCTCCAGTCGTATTACTTCCTAAATTTAAATATATGTAAGTCGAAAAAACTGGAAGACATAATCGTAGTTAAGCAAATTGATTTTGATTTAAAATATAACAAATATAAACTACAGTTGTGCAATTAAAAATGTTTTATTATAAATCGACATCTATTGTTATTATGACTCTTGGCCGAGGTTGACTCGGATTGCCACATTACTCCCTTTCATCGTGGTCATCAATTCACATTCTAAATTTTAGATATTAATTATAAGAAGTTTTAATTATCTAATTCACCTTTATCATGAGTTTAAGCATATTGTAACGATGGAAAACATTTCGCTGGGATTTGCTATCTCCGTACTTGGTCATAAGGGTCACCAACGATTTTTTGGCAGTATCGTAGGACTCTTCTAGGCGTATACGAACTGCCCTTAGACGCTCGTTGGTATCTATCACTTCGTCTTTGCTTAGTCCACCTTTAAAATAATAACAACTTGTATATTAATACAAATGTTCCTGATACTAATAGTTTACTCAAATGGTAAAAATCTCAAATTAAAAACTAATCAACTCGTGCAACGTAATTACATTATTACAAATAAACATTTCAATGTATATATAAATATATAAAATTATTAATGAGAAAAATCATTTTCCATTTTCCATTTTCCATTTTCCATCTACTGCAAATAAGCATTTACAATTGTCCTTCAAATTAATTGAAATCAATCCGAGTTCGTTCTATTCTCTTGATATGCAGGAAAATACCTCGACAGTATTTGACCAAAAAGGAAAACAAATCATAGCTGATTTTTAATTGCTCAAGAAGCAATTACTGAAGCAGAAAATAACAAAATAATTGAATTACTTCCAGCTCTTTGAAAACAGGAAAAACTTATACAGAGAAATGGATCTATCCAGCATTGGTAGGAAAATATATTGTCAGTAGCAAATGATAAATGTGTACGTTCTATTAATTGGACATGATAAAGAATTTTCTCATATTTATTTTTATTTTTCATATTTAGAATATAAATCATTAAGACTACTTTCAAATTCTTATAAGTAATTGCAATTGTGGGTTTAGAATATAGTTTATCTAAAAGCTTTAGAAAAAATTGTTACAAGTAATTATTACAGAATGCAAAGTGCTACTTCTCTATAATTAACAAATTATATATATATATATATATCAGATTAATACTTACTCGCCGTTCCCTCATCTTTTACATCTTGCACAATCCGTCTAACACTTTGGGTGAATTTTCCGACAAGATTTGTGGTTCCAGCTAATACAAAAACAATAATTAAAATTAATCCACCATGTTAAAATAGTTTTATATATTTATTAGCAATGTAAGTAAAATAATAGGTGAAAATCAGGGGCGTAGTGCACATTGGCAAGGTCCGCACCTAAATTTTGTGGAGTCCCTCACCAAGGACAATAAGAAAAATTGCTCAAACTCAAATAAGTTTCTTTTCATTAATATTTACCTGCTTATATTTTCCAAATTTTACAAATAATTCAAATTTAATATACAAATTCATTAAATCATTTATAGCTGATGATGGTCATAATTTTTAACTTTTAGGTAAATTCTGAATAGATGCTGACTTCTAACTAGATTCTAACCAGGTTCTAACCTAGAACTGACTGCATTCCAACCAGACCCAAAACAGTTTCTTATGAGATTGAATAACAGAATTCTTTTCTAATATACATGGTGTGCTAGAGCTCAAAGTCTAGGAAAATATAATGATAATATTGATCGTAACTACCAAGAAAACAATAGAAAAAAAGGTTACTAGTAATATTTTAGTCTGACTTATTTTTAAGTTTTATACTGGAATTTTTTATCACGAAACTATTGAATATTTTACCATTTTACAATCCTGATTAAATGGGCCGTCTTTTGATGAAAGTTGCCTACACACTTTAGTACTATTATTTTGAAGACGAGCTTTTCAAAATAGTCCAATTTTAACAAATTGTCTTAATTCTTAGAAACTCGGAGCAACTCTATGCTTATTTTTGACTATGGTCCTAGAAATGTTATGTACAGTTACGAATTCAAAATTTAAATGAAGGAGATCAATAAAAATTTAGCTACTAATAATTGAAATAATAGATTCAAAGTTTAAATGAACAAAATTAATAGAATTAACAACTCATAACTAAAATAATGAATCCAAAGTTTAGATCATAGATTTCCAAACTTGTTTGTGTCGTGGATACCTTATACTTTGCCATGAACCCTATATTCAGCTAATATCGATTTTTTTATAAATTTCCATTTATACTAACGTTTAGTATTAACTATTTAAGGTAAAGATTCAAATACAAGTTTAGACATTAATTAATTGGCTTTAAAATAATAATAAAACATAGGTATTAACAAGGTGTGTTGTGACCCACTATCGTGGATGTCTAAAATTCCTTTTTGCTGATGTGAACCCCTCAAAAGAAATCAATGAAAATTAACCACTACACTAAAGTAATAACTGAAACAATGGTCACAGCTTGTTCAGAGCTTTAGGTTGCACTTAAAAAGTCATAATTTTCAAGCTCCATAAAACAATTGTGTAATTTTTGTCAAGGCAGTTACGATTAATATTATTACCCTGTATTTGCAAGAACATCAACAGTTGTCAGCGATTCATACAACTTTTTAGCTATATTGTTTTATAAATGGAATTAATAAAAAAGGACATAATTAATTTCTATATTTCTATATCCTTCTAATTAAATACATCTGATAAAACTTTTTCTACTCCCATAGAAGACAGCGAATTAAATATTCTGCTCGTGCTAATACAAAGCCCGGAACTTTTCGCCCCAGTATTTGACGGTCCCGGAGCCATCCCGGAGTCCCCGCCCGCCTGTGGGTTTATCTCAGCCGGTTCATTCAATTTTCTCAAGGTCGGCCCATAAACCGCCCGTAGATCGTATACATACTACACTTCAGTGTAATATAAAGGCTTAGAGTTATGAATTTTGGCAATTTGGACGACGAGGATTTTGTAGACGACCCTGGGTTCACCATATCGAAATGTGGGAGAAGTAAAATTCATACTAGAATTAGGGTTCACCCAAAATAGTTTTTGAAACTATATAAATATAATAAAAATTTTTTAGTATGAGTTAAAGTTAAAAAAAAGTGAAAATAATATTATTAGTATATGTCGTTCATAAAGACATTATATTAGGCATGTTTGGTTTGTTTTTTCATTAAAATATATATTGGGGTGGTCCTTAATATGGATTTTTGCTCCCTTTTGCTTAAATGCTTTCAAATTGATAACACAAAAATTTCCAAAAACTTTAGCTCTTAATATTACGTTTAAGATAGTCCGCACTCCAACCAAAGTTTCATATCCATATAACATGGGTAAAAATCCATTTGCTTTTTAGAATTTTATATCTTAGCAACAAGTGAATTAAATTTTGAGAATAACATTGTTAACATTGAAATAACATTCTTATTTTGATTATAAATAAAAAAATTGCAACAAAAATTTGATATATTTTATAAATATTAGTAGTTACTTAGGAAGAAGAACGAATACACTTTGGTTGGAGTGCGGCTCAAGAGCTGAAACTTTCAGAGATTTTTTTTTATCAATTTGGAATCATTTGAGCTACCATATTCAGTGTAAAAAAGTATACTACTTAAATAATAAATTAGGTTCTACTTCTTATAAATTAGGTTTGATTGGTTCTATTTTATCATTTTTAATATTTTCTCACTGTCACATTGTTTAGTTATTTTATATTATATTATTTCTCAATTTGTAGCCCACCGAAAATGACATAAGATAAAGGTGATATAATTTTTTACAATGTTTAATTTGATGTATTGCCTTGAAGGTTTAAGTCATATATATATATATATATATATATATATATATATATATATATATATATATATATACATATATATACCCTAAAACAGGTCCGTGAGCTGAGTTAAACTTCCTCTATTCAAGGAAGAATAGTGTGAAAGATTTCCCATTGTCATTTCACACCGTAGTGCCCGAAATGGGCTATTTTCAATTGGAAACATATTTTTGATCTATGTATATTTTCATATACAAGAGACATCACTGCTGCCCGACGTCAGGTTGTCCAGAGAGAGATAAAAACTCACTACACGAGCCCAAACCATCCAAATATTAAACAAATTTACATAAGACATTTGTTTTCAATTTTTTGAGGTATATTAAATATGAAACTAAATCATTCTATAACATAAATACGATTACCTTTGCATTACTATTAATACGTATCTACGAATCTCGTAATCTCTTTATTTGAGCGTTCAAGTAGCGCTAAAACTTCATCTGATTCCTTTGAATCCTTCCAAATCAGCTTATATTGCTGATAGTAAATTGACTAAATCCAAATTTCACGCCGAAAGTTGTCAAGCGTGAATTGCTAGTAAATTTCCTGATTTCCCAAAAACATTAGTAATGGAAACACCTTTTCTAAATATTTCAACCTTGATCTGGTATCTCCATAAATAACCAATAATTTATTCTACTTTAAAATTGACTTTGTTAACTTAATTTACTTGTTTATGCCCTATTTTTTTATAGTAAACAGGGTAAAGGATCAGGTGGTGGTGTTTTTTCTTATATAAAAAAAAAACTTTTGAATATAACTTTTACAACAAACAATAACATATACTTAAAAATTATAATTAGGTATAACACACTAAATACAATAGCACAAAACCAAGAAAAAACAACTAATGGTACAAAATACTTTCGGTGTGAATTTTGATGAATTTCCGTTTATCTCCTGGTTATACTCCTGGTTGTTTGATTATACATCTTTTGCTTTCTAATTTAAAAGAGTATCATCAAAAATTTCTATACTTTATTTCTATGATGATGACGGACCTTAATAAGCCTTGCTCTAATCTACCTATAAATTTTAATCAAGGATTTTCTGGATCTTACACGTATCAACTTCATACAAGATGTTTCCAATAAAATCCTGCCCTTACCAATAATGCAAATTCTTGACCCATTTCCACCCCGAATCCGGCCCGGAATTCAGAGACGATCGTGTCATCACATAAATTTCATCCGTGCACACGCGACATTTCGCACCCCGGATTTACCACCAGCATTCCCGATTGGGCATCGCCTAGGGCTTAGGCCAATGGGAATTTCTGGAACCGATTGTGAAATTCACGGTTTCCCGACATCATGTGTACGTGTGTATTTGTTTTCAATGTGCGTGTGCTCCGAAGGAAAAGCGGAATGGAAACCGGAAAATCGATAGACTCAGCATCATCAACGGCGGCAAGGCGAAAGAGCGCGCAGAAGTCACTTGGTATAGGACACTTAACACTGATCTTCGGGGTGATTGAAGGATTCTTGATATATGGTCTTGGATGGAAGATATTTTTTATCTTGTGGAAACACTGACTTTCGAACTCAGCATTGAAAATATAAAAATTCCAAATAATTTCTAAATGTTTTTTTATGTTTGGTAAAGTTTAGCAAAAATTAACAAAGTGTCGAACTTTTACAAACAAAATCAAGAAGTAGTTTGTAAATACTGACTAGAGCTTAACATTCAAAAAATAAATTTTACAAATATTTGAAAAAAAGTGTTAAACTTTTCTTCCACATTTAAGCTTATACTACCGAATAGATTTTAAAAAATCAAAAACTTATGATACTGATTAGTTTTAGGTGAAAATTTACTGAGCCATTTTCTTGTAATTAATTGTTGAAAAAAATTTAAGCCGATTTTCATGGAACTTTTTTTGACGATATATCATATCATATATATCATGGTCTTATAGAGCTTACTGAAATATTACGGTCCATAGTTGTTATATAAGTTGTATTGTATTTTATTGTATTAAATTTACAATTACGAAAGTAAAGTATTAATCTAATTTCAGTAACAAACCTTTAATGAACTGATAAAACCCAAATGACTATATTGTCACGGTGGGTAGCGCAGATTCCTCGGCTTGATTAAAGTCTCTTGATTATATTTACGACTATCGTTAGAGCCAATATTGCCATCGTTGAATTTAAATCGAATACGGAAATTGATACGACGTTATAATTTTCACCAAATAGTTTTAATTGCATTATTAATTATAAATGAAACTTATTGTTAATATTTAAATGTCCACTGTATAGCCAAGAATTGTAATTGAAGCAAAAAGTTAGATTCAATTTGATGGGAATTAATGTGCAAGGTACTAATTAAAAAAAATTGTTATATCTACTAAGATACATTTCACTTATATCTAAAAATCATTTAATTTATCAGTTTAACATTTTATTTACTGGTTTCTTATTGTTAATCATCAACTTGAATATATTTTTTGTGTAAATATTCAAAAGCGATAAAGTGCTGAACATGTGTTAATTTTATGAAGACTTCGTTTTCAACATAATTTAGATAAAGAGTAAGAATGTATTTATAATTGTGTAATATTCAACTTCATACTATTAATATATGCTTTATTGGATAATTAAAAATTAAAAAAAATATAATTTCTAAAATATAAATATAATTCTTGCTCAGGGTAGGTATGTCTATTTAATTTATCATAATCAGACTCATTGTTTATTGAAATATAATTATTACAAATAAAATCAATACAACTTTCGCATATTTTCAATAATGATCTCATTTTTTGTATAGATCATACTAGATACAACTTTAATAATAAATCATCATGGAGTTGGAACAATTAAATCAATTTTTTTTATAAAATTGCTGTTTCTAACTCATTTCACACTTTTATTTAGTAGTCTTATCGTTTATGTCTTGACAGTATTGAGGTTTAGGTGTATTTTATATTTCTACCATCTGTAAGCTTTTATAGAGGTTATATTAAAAAAACCTGTTGAATGTATGAACTAATTTAATAACGTATTCTTAATCTTTTCAACTCGGATGCCGCCGCGGCAAAATATTTGTTAATTTCTGAACTCGCGAGTGGAAAGGGTTAAAAGCTATATTCAGGTATCGAAAACTTAAAAACCGTGCTCAAAAACAAAAAAATGAAGATGCACAATTTAAAGCCATGATTGGTTACACATCTTTGCCCTCTTCTTTCAACTATTCTCTTTGAAATTTTTACTTGGTGGTGGATCTTTTTATCAGTGGATCTTGAAGCCCCGTTATACCCTATATACTTTAATAGATGTTGTAATATAAAGTCGTAAACATTTCTAGTCCGTATTATAAGATTAATACAACAGTCTATGCTAATACATATTATAAATTATTTTATAAAATTGTATTGAATAATTCATCAATTTCCACTTGACTCAAATATGCCTCACTTCTACGTCAAAAAATTCACAGCACAAATTTAAATCAGTAAATTCTGTAAATTTCTTCTTCTTCATAGACGAATGCATATATTATACAGTATAATCACGCTTTTTATGTTTAATAAAAGTAGAATTGAAAGCTCGTACCGAGATAGCGCAGAACTTATTGCTTTTGTTCTGATAGGCATTTTCACATAGCGTTTACTCCCAAAAGCAAGATATTTCCCTCTTGAAGGCAATTTGCAGATACGCGCTTCACAAATTAACGCCCCCCGAAGGCGCCTGAATATATATTGTGTGTACTACGGGCACGAAATAAATAAATCTCGGCCCGAAATCGAGCTAGGAGCACAAAATACTCGTAGGTACTACATTACGAAGCGACGACAAAAAATATACTCAGCATTCGATATATGGGGGCACGAGATAACCGAGGAAAACCTCGAATTGGTAGATTTATTGAATTTTTATTATGTAATTCAAAATTCATATATATAAATTTCATTTCTATGGTTTTGAAATCATACTTATCAGGAATTTTGAAAAGTGACTTTTTATAAAGTATTTATTTGTTTGATTATTTAATTAACATAAAGTAATAAATTAATTATCTTTAATAATCTCAAATTATTCATACATAAATATGTTAATAAAAATAATTTTGATGTGTGAGTCAAAATCTTCATAATAGAGTCAAATCAGGACTCTGAACTTAAGCTATCTATATCTAATATATATGAGTCAAGTCTTTAGGGCAATACATCAAATAAAAATTATAGAAGTTTATAAAATCCGATCATCATATCATTTCCTTATGTTTTTCATTATTTTATTAAATGTTGTCCTGAGTCACCAACATAAGTAGCATCGCAATCGTTACAGTCGATTTTTTAAACGATGATAGTTGTACGATCTACACTTGTGCACATAATTTTTTTTCCAAACCGGGAAAAGATTTTATTTGCAAACATTCTTTGATCTATTTCTTTAAAAGAGGGTTTTGAAAGTCGACAAATTTAAAAAAAATCGAAATCATTGTTCAACAAAAAGTCTTAATTCTAGAAACTGAGGGCAATTAAGTCATTATTTTAGACTGTGGACCTAGTTACTTAGGTTTACGTTTACGGTTCTGAAGTTTAAACAAACATGATAAAAATTAATCGTTTTTTCCTAAGTTTTTTCATGGTAGTTTCTGATACAATCTATGCTAGCGGTCGGGAATCTTTTTTAATCATTACCCCAAAATATTTTTGTCTAAGGTGATATTACTATCATGGCAAAGAGAAATTACCCCCATACGGACAACTAGGTAAAATATATCAATTAACAAAATATACTTTTTACCCCCAGAAATTTATTTGTGGTAGGTTAACCCGGTTTTGCAACCGCTGATCAATGCGATCAACTTCTTGATTCGGTTCGACTCTCGTTTCGTGTTGACTTCTATAACATTTTGTATAAAGTAATAGCTGTGTTTCTAGTTCCAATTTCTAATGAATCCTTGAAATCACGATTAGTACTTTAAAGTCAAAATAAATTCCCCAACAACAGCGATAAACGTGCCATACATCATTTTCTCGCCACCCAAATACGTTATATATTGTTTTCCCCGATACGTGCTCCGAATCTTCACCGATTTTCACGTACCGACCACTCGATTTTCATGAAAACAAGCCGCTTAAACGTAACCATAATCCTCGTTACAGTTTCCCTTTCGGCGTTATGATTAAAACGGATCTATTTAAATAACATCGGCTCGTGTCCGGGCTCAGATAACAAAACCGACTGTCCGCAAGTAAATTCCTAATACCGAAACGGCGAGGGGCACTTTGCCAAATTGCTTCGGATTTCGCTAAACTGTTGCATTTGTGAAACATGCACAAACGTGCAATCTCGTATTGTAAACAAATGTGCAATGCAAATTTTAAACTGAATACATAGTGGTAGATCGATTAGATTTGTTAAGTAAATTTTGAATGGTAATAGGGCTCAGGTATAAAATAGTTATGCGTGGTAAATGATTTTTAAAACGTTATGCATTTTAAATTTGAATTACTGTGTGCGCTTGCCCGTAGGTAAGTGGCTAGAACCACTGAACCTGGATCAGAGGTCTCAGCAGCTAGTTATGGCAACGCTATGTTATGCTTCTTTTTTGGTACTAAATACTGCTAAAATGTTATATATTTGCTGTGCATTCAGGCATTTTAGGCATAGTTTTAGTTAATATTGTTGAAAATGTTTAATGTTGTTTAATAAATTACGGCACTCATACGGTCGCTATTTTCAAAAGTAAAAGTGCAAAAATATAGAGTGCTTAATTACACAATTTTATTATTAATAGATTTTTTTTAAAAGATTTTACTACTTAAAATATTGATATGATATTTAAAATATCATATTAATAACATCCTAAAAGCGCCGTGTTATT